CCTTATTTGGTAATATTAGACACTACCACAACCAAAAGAATCAAATCCATTTTTCCAATATTGCTATCAATGGAATCTTATAAGCAACAACTTTTCACAAATGCCATTGTAAGGATACTTAAAATAAATAAAATCAAAACCTTTTTCTTTTATTTAAAACTTTGCGAAAAAACTTATCCTTACAATCCATATGAAAACCTTGTTGTTATCTATTCCTAAGCAATATAAATATCATAACTCTTAAGTAATAGCCCAAAATTCTGATCACCGAACCATGCGATTGAAATCCATCTTCGCGATCAGAATCAGCATGTACTTAATAGAGTTAGACAATGGACTTTACCTGAAGTAGAGCCAAACTTATTGACTTTAACATCCTTAGGTAAATTTGGCAGCTTCGTAACCAATGCCCCTTCCTTTGGCAATAATTACCTATGGACCCTTGATAATGGGACTATCTCAGACTTCGCCTCTCTCTTTACCATTGGGTCAACCGAGTTGACTATGGCCGGTCCCTTTCCATTGGGAAGAGAGAGCTTTACTGGATATCCAATGTCATCATTGTCAATGTCCATAACGTTTTAGGAAGTTGATCTTAGCAAATAGATAAGATCATTAAGGGTCTTGTCTTAGTCTGTTTCATAGGATTCCCAAAAGAACTCACTATGTGACTTAGAAAGTAGTTGAGCCACCAACTTTCTCAAGACTTTGACACCCAACTCTCCCGGCTTGTCAATATGTGACTACATCTCCAAGATGTGATCACACCTAGACCTTGCCTTGCCAATAGGGCTTGAGTGACCTTAAACTTTTTAGGAACTTGTGGGTTAGGGAGAATAATTGGAGGAGGTGAAAGAAGTATGATATCCATGGGACATCATCTTCATTTAGGAAAGCTTGTTTCAAGAGATTTGGGAAGATCATAAATGTCTAGACCAGACATCTTTTTGGGAGATATTCAAGATGGTTGATTTAAAGTCCTTAATATGACACCCAATATGAAATATTAAGGCTAGGACCCAACAAACTACTTTATAACTTAGAAGAGGGATGCCGTAATCCAAGCTATAAAATATTTGAAGGTAGGTGAATGACGATTCACCAATTTCCACCATGAAAAACGAAATAATTTATTAGGTTTTAATTGGATTTGAAAGTCCTAGATCTTTGAGATTCATTGAACTGTTCAAAGGCATGTTTCAATCTCGAGTGTGCCCTTCAGGTTTTGTGACTGGGATGCCGAGGATCACAAAACAAGGTGTGAATAACCATGCAAATATACTTGGTACCCTTAATATTTACCCCTTAATCAGTGTACCGGTTAACCACACACGCTCCACCGATACTATGATAAATATTAAGTTACCCTTTGCCTACCTTGTTAAGTCCAGGTTAGTGTGCCGGTTAACCACACACGCTCCACTAACGACTTAAGCAAAGTGCAAAGTGTAATTTCATGGGTTAGCACCAAATTCACATTTTCCTAAGTAACTAAGATTGGGTATTAATAAGAGTTTAGTTACTTAGTATTTATCATTAATACTTTTAATGAAAGGAGAATTATAGTCCTTGTCCTACCCGTTCGGCTAACGACCCTCCACCAGTCAAGGAAGCGGTGGGTGAGAGTGGACACCCATTAAACTGCCATTTTATAGGCAGTAACCTTATAGCCCCCTTATAGACCGGCTTCGTGAATGAGGCCTACTAACGGTAAGACTGACTTTACTCTTATATATATATATAAATATTATTAACTTATAATATTATAAAGTATAAGGGTTGAATTTTAACTTTTAAAATTCTAAGGGCTAACTTGGAATTAAAGTATTCATAAGTGAAAACTTTTCAAATTCCAAAACTTGAGGGCAAGTTTTGAAACTATTCAAAACTAATTAATTCCATAACTTATGAGTTTAAAGTAGTTTTAAAAAAAAAACTCTTCAAGTTTCATAACTTGAGGACAAGTTATGGAAGACTTTAAACTAATTAATAAAAAAAAATTATTGTAACTTATGGGACTAATTAAGGTTACACTTTTTTTTTAATTTAATGAAGAGACTCTTGAACCTCCATAACTTGAGGACAAGTTATGGAGTCATAAAACCATTTAATTAGAACTAGACTCTTCATTTGTAACCTTTGCCAACTTTTATGAGTTTTATGATTCTTAAATGTGACTTTTCATATAACTTGAGGACAAGTTACAAAAACACACTTTGGAATCAACTCTTAGATTAAAATGGATTGAAAACAACTATTTCACACAACTTTTCTATTAATCTAAGAACCTCATAAGAACAAGATAATTCAAATCATCAATCTTCAAGAAATTAGCATGAACATACAAACTAATACAAATCTTGAAATTATGACAATTATCTTAGAAATTGGATTAGCATGAACATTACCACATCAAAAACAAGTTTATAAGTCCAAAAACATCTTAGGGTAATGTTCCTAGTCCAATTCCAGCCAAAACAATCGAATATATGCATCCAACTCGATTTTTCAGCTACTTTTGCAAGTATAACAAGAAAACAAACCTGGCTCTGATACCACTGTTGGGTTATGAGCATTCTAACACTCTTAAGTGTACATGCAACCCTAAATACCTTGGATCTATGTTTTCTCTATTATACATACAATTATGAACATCCAAGGTATTATCCTAATCTAGCATACAAATTAATAAATATAACAAGATAGAATACATACCTCTTTGATGTAGAATGTCTTCATGAAGCTTGAGTGCCTAGTGCCCCAAGTGTGACACCTCAAATGGTTCACACAACACCAAATACACTTGGAATAACTTGAGAGAAACTTGAACACTCCTTGAAATCGTCTAGCCCTCACACTCACACATTAGTGCACGATTTCTTGAGCCATGGGATTCTTTTATATGGTGGCTATTAGGGTTACACCATGTAACTCATAACTTTACCCATTCCTTATGCTCCATGGATTTTAACCTCCATGGAGTATCCATGGGTCACCCCATGGACTTAGTCCAACATAAGGAATCTTGGATCACAAGCCCACATATATAAGAATGAATGATTTACACAATCAACCCATATATTTAATTAGTCTCCTTTTGATCACTTAATTAATTCCAAATTAATTCTTGATCAATACTAATTAAATAACCTTATTAATATATTAGAACTTATAATATATTAACCAACCTTAAGTGTTATTTCTCTCATTATAGTCTATCCAAATGCATGATGCCATGCAACCCAAATGGACCATGTCGGGTCGGGTCAAGTCTTACCAATTATAGTTATGGACTTAGACATTAATCCAACAGTATGTTCACTAGAGAAAATCTTAGATCCAAAGCAATTAGGGTTGCATGATCACATAGGAATGTAGATATGCTCATAACCCATCACTTTCCACACCGATCGAGGCACGTTCTGCTATTCGGCCTTAAGAACTCCTGGGCAACATATCAACGCCTAATGGATAAAGTCTTCACATAACAGATTGTCAAGAACGTAGAGGTATATGTCGACGACATGGTCATTAAAAGTCGTAGTGATGCAACATTGCTCCGAGACGTGGAAGAGACCTTCCAGACGCTAACACAAGCCCAGATGAAGCTTAACCCGGGAAAGTGCACATTCGGAGTAGAAGAGGGCCAGTTCCTAGGATACAAGATAACCAAAGAGGGAATCCAGCCAAATCAGGTCAAAATCCAGGAATTCCTAGATTCCAAGGTCCCGCACAATATAAAAGGAGTCCAAGAAATCAACGGGAAGCTAACCGTGCTAGGCAGGTTCGTTGCCAAGTCAGCAGAAAAAGCCTTACCACTTTTCCAAACTCTGAAAGGATGTGTCGAAAAGAACCACTTCAAATGGACGAAGGAGGCCGACGCAACCCTCCAATGCTTAATGGGGGCCCTACGTCATTTGCCAACAATGAAAAGCCCCCTTCTAGGCGAACGGACAAACCAAAGTATCAAATAAGACCATCGTGAATGGACTTAAAAAACGCCTAATGAAAACAAAGCAGGCCTGGACCGAAGAGCTGCCAACGGTGTTGTGGTCATATCGCACCACCAAAAGGTCAGGAACTGGAGAAACACCCTTCAGTCTATCATATGGCACGGAAGCGGTGCTCCCACTTGAGATTCTAAGCAAATCCCTACGGGTGACGATCTTTGACACAAACTCAAACGAGGAAGAGCGACGTCAAGACGTAGATATGCTAGACGAGAAGCGTCAGGCAGCACAGTTGCGACAAGCAACCTATAAATCCCGCACATAAAACTTCTACAATAAACGGGTGCGAGTAAAAAACTTCAAAGTCGATCGGAGAATGGGTGTTGAGAAAGAACGAGGCCAGCCACTCAGAGGCACAGGGCAAGCTAAGCACGACCTGGGAAGGGCCGTACAAAGTAGTGAAGACGCACCGAGAAGGAGCGTACACATTGGAAGCACAAGACGGGAGACCAATACCTCGAACATGGAACGCACGCAACCTACGCCACTTTTACTTATAAAACAACCGACGAATAGCATATCAAAAACAAAAAGGGGGGATAGTGTCGCCCGAACTTTTAGCCTCAGGGCTGCACACAAGTCAAAGTGACAACACGTAAACCTTCGAGATTTTCTCCAATCACTTTCCAAAATAGTAAAGTCTTGCAAGAAAATAGAACCCGATTTTACTCATCAACATATACGCATACGCACGTAGATGCAAATATAAAAACTAAAAACATAAAAAAGGGGGTTGCGCGAATCCACGAAACGGGACCACGGGCTGATCACCCACACCGTTTAGGCAAACCAAATCACCAACATGCAACCAAAAATATCGAAAAGACATGATTCCTCATGGAACATGTCGGTTCGGCCAAACAACAAGGACCCTAAGCTCTCGAACCAGACATATACAAAGGGTACGAAGGATCATAACCTTCCCCTAAAAATAAAAAATTCTAACATACATGGGTCCAGGGAGCCTCGAGGTGACGACCTCAGCTCACCTTAAGCGACCACAAAAGGAAGGTAATAGGTCACTCGGCTCAACGTTGAAGTCCAGGGGACAATGCCAACGCCGGCGTCCGGTTCGGATGGGCCGGAGCCGCTACCAGAGGACAATGCCAACGCCGCCTGCTTTCCCTTCACTACACCAGCAGCCACCCACGCGGCCTTCATGTGGTGAATTCCGAGCGCAAACTCACTGCTCTCGACAATGCGGTCCACTACGAGGACCACCCCTTTTTGAAGAACCCAGGCCAGACCAGTCTCCAGGAATTTCCTTTTTAAAACCTCAGCTGAGAGCTCACGGCCTCGCAGCCGCCAAACGTTCCACTAATGTTGCCTTCTCCGTAGCCAAATCTTGGACCTGCTGAGATAGGTGGTCGACCTCCCCATCCAGAGTCGCCACCTGAGCCTCAACAACGGTCTTCTACCCAGATAGCACAAGGTAACGTTCATCGAACTTGCGCCGCTCCTCCTTAAGGAACTAGACCCTCTCCACGAGCTCGTTGCGCTCCGATTTAATGAGAGCCAACTCCACCCGGTCAGCCCCGATGTAACATAGGTGATCGGAAGCAGCCACCAAATAAGGAGCCACCTGAGCAGCAGCGTATTGGAGATCATCCGCCATATGAGAATAGGAAAGGGCATCAAGGGCCTCCAGGGTGACAGAAGGAAATGCATGATGGCACCATTCACTAGTAGGACCCTGCTCCGATAGAAGAGAACTGGGTGTAAGGTTCCACTCTGGGAGATACACACCAGGAGCGCCCGAAAAGGAATGTCCCACCTTCGACGGGATGTCATTCGAAGCCGAAGGTGAGGTGGGGCAACCTCCCGCATCGATTGTTTTCCCCTGACGGACCGCCTCTGCCCCTGATAACTCATCACCATCAGCAATCTCGATAACAAAAGGTGACTCATCGAGAAAAGGTTCAATGTTGCATTTCCGACGTAAGCGTCGGGCAATAGTATCACCACCAACATCCTCCCCAAGTGCAGAATCTGCAACAACAGACCGACGACGGGAGACGACCTAGTAGCTAGGCACTCCCAACCCCTTAGACGAAGAGGCAGCCTCGGCTCTCGCCATGGCAAGAGAGGACTCGCATTTGGGAGCAGGCCCGACACTAGTCGGGGCAAGTAGCGCCTCCACCAGGGGAACCTCATGATACTGGAGATCACCCCTAAAATTCCCTCGTAATACTTGTTCGAGAGACAAAAGCTTCTCGTCACCTACAACGACCACAACACAGGACCCGCATTAAAATAAAAAATGAAGAAAAAAAGGAGAAACATGAAGACACGCAAAGAAGGGGGGGAGGAAGGTAACACTTACCACTGTTACTCACAAAAAATTTGAGGCATCTTCCCATGCGAACGCCAAGCTGCGCTCATCCCGGCTGCCGCCAATATGCAGTCCGGCCAGTCCTCACTGTCAAAACAAATTCCCCTCAGCGCCCGGGCCACAGATAAACCGACACCCAACAGTTGGGGTGCCCGGTTTGAAGCCATGGTCACACAAGGATAGCATGCATAAACCAAATCACTGTTGACCCACAGCCATCAATCCTGCCAGTTTTTTCATGGTTCTTTCTGGTTAACTATAAAGGAATGTGTGTTGCGGCGCTGAGAAAAAGTGTGAACGACTGAATGAGTCGACGAATTAAAGAAAGACTGGAACGCTTGAAAATGAGGAACTACACCCAACGCCCGACACCCCAAATCGAACCCAACTATCTTGTTCACGGTGTTCGGGGTCAGATCGTGAACATAAAAACCATATTCCCGCATGAATTCATCGAAGAAGTTAGAAACGGGAAGACGGAACCCAGCCTCAAAAATCGCCACCGGCATACCGATCTTCCCGGTTGGCGGTTGATAATAGTAGATCCCTCCGACGAAAACTGGACCCCATGTTCGGGCATAAACCCAAACTGGAACTGAAGAGACTCGAACTCCTCGAGTGTAGGGACAATTCCAGATCTGATGGAAGCCATCGAAAACCAGAAAGGAAAATTTTAGGAGAAAAGGGACACGGCGAAGAAGGCTGAGATGGCAAATTATGGAGAGAAGAAGCGTGTAAGTGCTCCTAGAAACAATGGGCCTTTATAAACATTTCAAAAAGAAGAAAATAGAGGAAAATTTGAAACGACACTCTTTCGACAAAGTGTTGTTTGTAAGTGGCAAGCTTCTCTCAGGAGTAGCAGTTGACTCATCGACTTCAATTAGAGTTTTTTTGAGAACATATTCTTTGTTCTCGTATCGAAGAGTCATTTTGAGCTTTCACATCCACTCCATGTAGTTTGGACCAACCAGTTTCTCTTTCGATAAAATCGACAAAAAAGTGAAGTTGGAGTTGTTCGTGGAGGTTTGAGCAACAGTAGCATCACCAAAAGTAGACATCTATTTTAAGAGAGATAGTTTTAGTTAGTTGACACAAATCCTTAATATTTTAACCCATAATCAATATTTAAGGTTAGGATCCAAAATACAATTCACAATCAAGAGGAAGGATGTCATAGTCTTATTGTGAATTTGTAAAGTAGGTAAAACAATTCACCAATTTCAATCTAATATGAAATTCCTAGATCTTTTGAGATTCATTGAATCTTATCAATGGAATGTTTAAGCTCGGATTATGCTCTTCTATTTGTGACTGGGATACCGAGGATCACAAACAAGATGTGAATAACCATACAAACTCGCTTGACAACCTCGATGTCATTTATCATCTCAAATTGATTTGTCGGTTAACTACACGCTCTCCATCAATAATGATAATTTATGATTTATATCATCATTAAACTTTATAGTCCTAAATTTGTGTGTCGTTTAGCCACGCACGCTCCACTAATGAATTATAAAGAATGATGTGGGTTTTCATGGAGTAACATACATTTCATATTTTTCCTAAAGTAACTAGATTGAGATTTTTTTTAAAAAGGTTCTAGTACTTTATATCATTATACTTTTAATGAAATTATGTCCTATAAAATTCGTTCGGATAACGACCCTTTACCACACAGGACAGCGATGGGTGAAAAGGACACCCATTCAACAATCATTTTTATAGGTCGTTTCTTATACCCACTTTATAGCATGGTTTTGGGAATGAGGTCTACTTTTGATTCAACTGTTTTTTTCCTATACATATAGTAATTTTTAACTTTTAATAATATATATAAGGTGTATTTTAAAACTTTTCAAAATACGAGGTTTAAATATTATTATCTGAATTAAACTTTTAATTAATTAAATTTAAACCAATTTAATTTTTATCTTTTAATTAAACAATTAGTTAAATTAATTTAAATCATTTAGGGATTAAATAATTATTTTCAATTAAACAATTAATAAAATAATTCAAATTTGATCCTAATTCGAAACCCTTCTAATTTTCAAAATTAGGGGTTAGGGTTATCAGGTTTTAATTATTCAAAATTTTAAGGCATTAAAATAATAATTAAGGAAACTAAAAAACCCGAAGGGAACCCTACAATTTTCGAAAATAAGGTTAGGGAGGCTAGGGTTTCAAGAACCCTAGTAAAGTCGAAATTCTCAAGGCAAAGGGTTTATTTTCGACAAGCCCTAATTTGATCCATTCAATTTTATGCACAGTCAATAGAAAACAATGGCTTTGATACCATTGATGGTTTTATAGGTTATTAAAATACATATGAAGTGCAAAAACTTAATCCTTAAGTTCACATGCAACCAAGAAAAGGATCTATGTTTTCTCTAATTGATAACAATAAACAATGAACATCAAGAACCCTAATTAGGGGCCTATTTATAATCGAAATATACATAGGATTAGGGTTACATACCTTTTGATTATTGTAGCAAATAATCACACCAATTTCCTTCTTGAAAACCTTGAAAAACAAGCACCAAAAGCTTAGTGTCTTTAATGGTTTTTACCCAAACCCTAGCAACTAGAAGACAAGAGGAGAGAGGAGATGTGGAAGAAATTTTTCGGCTCTTCCTTTGAGTATGGAGTGGAAGAAAATAAGGAGCCCTAAGGGTCCTATTTATAGTTGATACATGGAACCCTAGAAAACCCTAATTTGAATATAATATTAATTTTTTCAAATTAGGTAATTATCCAATCACTTAATTATCTATAAGGAATATTCTAGATACTCTTAGGATCCCTCCCAGAACCTTCCGAGCCCTATAAGGTTTTGGAATTCTCTCTTGTTCAACTATTGAACAATTACATATTAAATCCTTGCACTATTAATTAATCCAATTAATATCAAAATTAATTCAAATTAATTCTTAATTAATTATTATTATTTCTAATTACTATATTAATCACATAATATATTAACAAATCATTTATCATAATTCATTAATCATATAATAAATCAATAAATCAGCATCTCTCTCCAAATGTCATTCTACCTAATTACTAGTTATGAGGGCAACCCAAAAAGGTTTTTGCTTTCAATTCATGTATATACCAATTTAGTTATAAACTTAGACATCTTAATCTAACAATTTGTTGCATTTAGCCCTTATTTTCCGCTTCAGAAATCAGAAACTAATGTGCATGTTTCTTTTTTCAGGTCCGTATACTATACAAAGGCACACTGAGGGTGCTTTTGGTGGTGGTTCATGATTTCCCGGACTATTTTGTTATTATCATTTCAGTTTTTGTGAAGCCATTGCTTCACGTTGTGTCCAACTAAGAAACATAATTCTTAGCACGTTCTCAGCTAACATGAGTCTTCCTGACCTAAACACTCCCAATTTGAAGGTCTTTGACTTATCTTAACTCACTATATTTATTACATAGTACATAACATGATGACTTTGTATTGTGTTTGACATGTACTGATCTGGAACTGGGACTAATGTCAACAAGACAAAAATTGCAATTTTCTATCCCATGTAACGAACACAAACATATTCTTGGTGACAAGAACTAATTACAAACTGCAGTATATATCTTTTTTTTTCAGGTGGATCTGCTAGCTGAGATAAGTCAACCACCTTGCATTGACCATGAGTTTGCTGCTGTTTTGAAAGTCAACAATATAAAAAACGACTTAGATCAATATTTTATAGTGTACATGATTTCGAATAGTAATTGTAAAATCCAATTTTCTTTTTTTTCTTATTGTCTCTTCTAATATTACTCGCACTTCTTCTTTTTTTCTTATTGGTGCAGACAAGGCCATAAATTTCTTCATTTCTTTTTGGATTAAAGTACAAACTACTTCTTTCATCAAGGGGAGCTGAAAGGTCCGGAACATACTACAATGTTCCTCTAATCGACTCACTTGTACTTTATGTTGGAACAAATGTACAATCAAAAGTAAGGATGTCAAAAAATCTCGTGGGACCTCGATCCCATATGGAGGATATTTATTTAAAAAATTGGGGGCGGGGGCAGGGGCAAGGGCGGGGGCGAGGGCAAGGTTAAACCTCGTTTTAGAGTTTCAGTTGACATCCCTAATCAAAAAGTTCCCTTCTTTTCTTCACACTATAATTTACCTTTTCGCCCCTACGGCAAGGTCAAAGAGTTTTTAGAGTTTCAGTTCCAATGTGGATTCAACTCCTATAGTAGGCCACTTTTTATCTGATTAACATCTCACATGATGCTCTTGGAGCAGTGTGGGCCAACCAGTCAGGGGTTGTCGGAAAAATAACTCATGTACAAAAATAAGTTTTTATGTTTTTATGTGTTTGTATGTCTATCTACTTAGATATGTGCAATACATGCATATACGTGTGTGTTGGTTTCATTAATAGTGATTCAATATGAGTAAATAACTCTTGTACAAAAATAAGTTTTTATGTTTTTATGTGTTTGTATGTCTATCTACTTAGATATGTGCAATACATGTATATACGTGTGTGTTGGTTTCATTAATACTGATTCAATATGAGTCTGCTACAGTTTTTTAACAATATAAAGTGGCTTAAAATATATCAAAACTCAAATGTATAATGTGTTTTTGTTTTTCAACTTGTAATTGTAATGATTGTGGTTTATAATTTTGAATAAGATAGTAGCTTTTTTTTATGTAAAATATGTGTATAATATATTTTTGGGGTGGCCAGATCTTTAATGAGTGCTGCAAGTTGGTTTTAGAAGGATTTTATCAAGTTGAAATCAATTTAAAAAAAAACAATCAAAACATATAATGAGTTTGAGTTTAAGTTTTTAAAACCTCAACTTGAATTGTTTGAGCCCTATCTTATGGATATTTTTACACTTGTGTCATTATTTTTTCACACATATAGTTTTTGCATTTTCATGAATGTCTTGCTTAGATTATTTAGTTTTTCTAACGGCGCTATATTATTTAGACAAGTCTTACATATTCAATCTTCTTTTATTTGAAAAGTCATTGGGATTTTTATTTTTCGGAAAAACATTTAATAATTTGGAATTCTTTTCACTTAAGTTATTATTACTTATTAAAATCGGTTAGCCGATCACAAGTGCATATAATAACTTCCAACCAACATAAGATATATCATACTATTAGTATTTTCACCCAACATAAGTCATATCATATTAGGTTGTTTTGGAGTGGACTATTCTGGACTACATATGAGGATTCTCGACACGAAGACAACATAAATTTTTCGTGTCTGGGCTTTTAAAATTCTTGTTTCGTGTTTAATCGTGTCAACACATATTTCAAATGCATGTTTTGTGTCTTACATATGTTAGACATGAATTTACCCATTTAAACACATATAAGACAAACATAGACACAAATTAACATCTTTTGACATGTTTTTTGCTTCATGTACGATGGTTTACAGTGGTTTAAAAAGTCATTTAAAAATCCGTGTTTTCACGTAACACAATTAAAAACGTGTTTTATTCGTGTAACATCACATGTTACATTAGATTAATTTTATGTCGTGTACATTTTTGATACATAGACACATTTTAACATGACACATTTTAACATCTTAGATTTCCTGTATATGACACGCAAACACAAACTGTCAGATCTGACTTGGACTATATTCTTTTCGACAAGAGTGGAATGTGTCCATGTAAATATTTGTAACCTGTTTAACCTATTATAGTAGTTAATGATAACTTACATGAAATTTTTTTTAATTACATGAAGAAAAAATAAAACATATTAGGTAAATATCAACCACGTAAGTTACAAACATGCCCCTAGAAAATATATTAGTTAAAATCGGATTATACAATGGCTATATTACCCTTATAATTCCACTCTCACCCAAACACATCCATACAAAATAAGGGTGGAAGCACCAATATAATCAAACCCCAACCTTTGAAAATGGGAATTACGATTGTTAAACTACATTTGTTGATAATAAGGACTTTAGGGCATTCAGGTCTTTTCAGGTGTCATAACTGTTTTTACTGTTTACTGCATACTCATTAATCCATAAACTAATTATAAGTAAAAATATCAACTCAAAAACATTTCAAACGAAATAAAATCTCTGCCATATAATCCAACAAAAAAGTACAAACTATAAAGAAAATCAAAACTAGTCATCAACTTTATCTTTGGACTACATGATACTCTCTTTTTCTTAAGCCTACTCCTTACGAACAAAGTAGAGCTTACCCATGACATGAAGAACAGCAACAAAAGCAATGAACCCAATGCTCATCACAAGAACAACATTTGGAGATATCTTCAATCCAGGTGCATCATCTGTGTAAAACTGCAGCATGTTTCCCGCAGTTCCACCTGGAGCTGAACTTCCGGTAGCGCCACCGGTCCTCCTTCTTCGTAAGTTGGCTGCCGCCGCAGCTGCACTTCCTCGTGGTGGAGCTCCGCCATTCAAAGCCATTCTCTGCTCAAAACCATGTAACCATAAATTATTAATCCGAATTTACATATCTTCTCTTTTAGCAATTAGGGCTTGCTACAATATTGAAAATGTTGGACAAGGAAAGCAAAAATAAAGCTACAGAACTACAAAAACTTCTGATTGGTTCATGAATGTAGCAATAATACTTGTAGAATTCATAATCATGGACAGACAAGGAGATCAGGATTGTTTCCATGAGAAGTTACTTAGTACAAACATATTTCTCAGAAGTGAATACATCTTGTAATCATTACAATTGTAGCCCTAAGATCAAGCTATTTACTGCAGTTTCAAAGTTACGATTTCCAAGCAAGTATTTGCGATCTAGATTAGCTATTCGAACCGAAGAACAAGGAAATTCAAAAGCAGATCGGAGAAGCAGAGCGGATAAATTTAAAGTACTTCATCGATTATTCAACCAATTCAATCATTGTGGATAAACAAAAAGCAAAAGAGATGGATAAACTCAATTTATTTATATATCCTGAAAAAAAAAAACTAACGATCAACGATTTTGGCAAAATCGAGGGCTACAGTATATATAAAGAACGATCTAACTAAGCAAATTTCATTCATCGGGCTTATATATGTAATCACAAACAGATCTACAGTTAGCATAAACTAAAATTGGTTTTACTAACTCCAAATCAAGATTGAATTATCAAAAAAATTAAAACAAAATTCCATGATTGATGAACAAATAAAATATAAAACGATGTGAAGAAGGAAGATAATCGACTAACCTTTAGCAAGTAGATCAAAAGGTTCCGATATCGTTCTCCTCTGGCTTCGAAGTTCCGATATTTACGAGAGAAGAACGAAGACAATCAACAAGAGGGCTTACTTCGTGGCGTTGAACTTCTTGGCGTTAGGTATGGTAGCTGCCACATCGATTAAACCAATCAGAGTTTGCCACGTGTGATTCGTGGTTTTTGCCATTTATGACTTTTCTTTTGGAAATTATCTGCTAATAGGCCTTGGGTTCCATACAGGTTACAAGTACAATGGAAGTTTTGATTCTACATTCGGCCCAAATTGGATACTATGGGCCTATGGCTATTTGCCTATTAATGTCAAGTTATAACTTTATACTATGGGCCCAAAGTGGATACACTAACGTGTGATTCGTGGTTTTTGCCATTTATGACTTTTCTTTTGGAAATTATCTGCTAATAGGCCTTGGGTTCCATTAGGGGTGAACAAACCGGTTTCTTTTCAAACCGAACCGGTTCAGTAAACCGGTTCGGTACAGATTCGTGAATAGTAAAACCGGTTCAACCATAAACCGGTTCGGTTCAAACCGGTTCCGTCATAGAAAATCTTGAACCTGTCTAAACCGGTTACACCGGTTCTAAACCAGTTCAATCGGTTCTAAACTGGTTCGATCGGTTTGACTACTGGTTCCAAACTGGTTCATGGTTATTAAACCGGTTCTAAACCGGTTTCAATATCTAAAATCTCGAACGGGTGCGAACCGGCGGTTCGGTTCTTGAATCGGTTCGGTTCATAGTGGATCGGTTCGTAGTGAACCGGTTTACCGGTTCAGTGACCGGTTCGGATCCTGAACCGGTTTTTTTGTGCAAGCCTAGGTTCCATAGAGGTTACAACTTACAAGTACAATGGAAGTTTTGATTCTACATTCGGCCCAAATTGGATACTATGGGTCTATGGCTATTTGCCTATTAATGTCAAGTTACAACTTTATACTATGGGCCCAAATTGGATACACTAACAGTATGTGGGCCAAATTGGATACTATGGGCCTAAGGCTATTAATGTCTAACAGTTATAAGTTTATACTATGAGCCCAAACTGGATACACTAAGAGTATGTGGGCAAATATTCTTTATGACACTTAAAAGGTTCCATATTATTTTTGCGATTAATCAAATCATTTACTACTTGCTATGATTCTACGACCCATAAGGTTCACATTATGGGTATGCACATACTCCAATAATATCACACTTGTGCAAACTCATAACATTTCATTAGATATTACAAACAAACAATAATCTCTAAGTGTCTGGTGCTAGCCAGTCAAATAAATGAGATTTTTTTTTCCATGGCTATAACAAAAACAAACATCTTTGTAGTGAATATAAGTTGGTCCAATATGTTCTATTTTCTTTATACAATGTTATGTGTCAACTAAAAGGTATAGAACGAAGCAACATATTATACTCAATGATTCGGTAAGTTTGTCTAGATTGGATAGTTAGTACAAGTGCCATTGAATGAATCAATATTCTAGAGCATGACCCTATGTTTAATTTGGTTTCAATAAACGAGTGGTCTTACAAACATCTCATATCATGTTTAATTTGGTTTCAATAAACACCTCGCCACAAACATCCTATTGCACGTAAGGGTATCACGCATGATCACCCAGTTATGATATTAGGGTTAAAGTGCATCATTATTCATGTTAACATTTTTGTAAACAACCTATTATTGATCACTTGAAGAGAAATTTTTGTACGTTCATTTTAATAACACTTTAAAACCGATATCATTTATATATTTCTTTTGAACAATACACTATTATATATAGAGAAATTAAATATCATTTTACATTTTCTTCTTACATATCTTCCTACCCATATGAAATGACGACATGTGTCATATTTTGATCAAATTAATTATATTTTTAGACATTTGTCATCATTTCAAATGAGTAGGAAGATAATTAGGAAGAAAAGTAGCATGATATTTAATTTCTCTTAGATATATGTAAATAAACACTTGTTGATGATGATGTATTGATTCATAACTCACATTACACACTAGAATGATTTACCATTACATTTGACTATGCATAATGATTTATGAAAATAAATTGGTCTCTTATAATTAACAACATAATGATTCATGATGGATATATTCATGCTAAAAATTATTCATTTAAAAGTAATCAGAAGATTTATTCCATTGGATTCAGTTAAGGAGATGCTTAATAATATAGTTCATGTTTTAGTTAATACTATAATGATTCATGAGTCACCTAAAGATACTAAAATGATTCTTCATAACATTGATTATATACAATGAATCAAGAAACACACCTGATCCAACAATAATTCAATGAAGATTCATTATTCAATCAACTTAATTTAACTGAACGCATAATGATTCGGTTTATGTTACATTTTTAGTTTTTTACTATAATGATTCGATAGAATACTTGTATGCATGCATCATTTTCCACTAACATATGATTGTTAATAGGTAACATTTTAAAACACGCTTTCATCTAAAATGTTTACATTGATCTAAGTATGCATTGCATAAAATCGGGTTTTATTATTGTAAATAATTTATTTATTTATTGAGAAAAATTAAAGAATATATATGGTAGCGATGATATTGTACAAAATTGTACTTTCTATTTTAAGAAGATTTTGTTGTCGAAAATAAAATCTTTGGTACTTGTGTTATCTGGCGGCAGTTGGGTGGGCCTTTCATGATGCCCATTATTTCTTAAATCCTGTCGATCTTTTTGTTTCATGAAATTTTATTTTTTATCATATATAACTCTATATAATCTTATTTCTTTTATAGTAATAAAATAGCTACAAAAGTTGCAGGATTAAATTTTATTAAAACACCAGAAAAGTAGATATCTAAAAGAATTTTGAATGACAACAATCGCCGGGCTATTTTTATACGATTTGACAAAAAAGTGATGTGTAATTAATCTATTATTTATAAACATACACATTCACAGTTTCTGAAAGTTGAATCTGAAAAAAAAAATGTGTAACCAAAACATTTGACATATTAAAATATAAAAGTATTTGTCATATAAATTAAAAAAACTTAATAATGCAATTCTTTTTTGGTAATTTACTTGTAAAAAGTTAGAATTTTTTTTATATCGATTGGTTAGTCCTTAAATGTGATTGTTTAGTCCTTAAATGTTAGTATCATCAAATTAATAGAATTCACCAACACATCGATTAGAATTTGGAACCTCTAATCTAAAAGGCTAAAAGCCAAAATCTCTACCAAACAAAAATTAATAGGAATGTTGTGACAAAATAATTTCCAATAAGTGAAATATGTGTCATGTGTGTGGCGAATGTGTAAGCAACCAAATGTTTCTAAGAAAATATTTAGTTTTTTTAGTCTTGTAATGATTTAAGGGACATTAATCAAATAATTTAGTTAGACATTTATTTAAAACGAGAGAATGGCGGTCGTGCTTCTCAACAGTTGTAGGTAATTTGTAAGTAAGGAAATGATAAGATAGCATATTTTGTAATAGTCTAAATTATGTAGGAATGTGTCATATGTGAGAAATTTGGGGTTTAGAAAGGCTTGGAAATTCTAAGAATTGTGATATCACTTTCAGATTAAAGTATTTAGGTGGTACTCCCAATCTTTAATCGGATAAAACTCAGAATATGAGAGCAAGAACAAAGAATGTAATTGATATGAATTTCGAATGTACCAGAAAATGAGACCAAAACTGATTTATGATCTTTGTCTGAAAACTTTCAAAACTGACATAAAACGGGTATTTCGACCCCAGCCAGGGGCTCTGTGCCTTGGACCCCGTCAGAGGTTGCCGCCCCTTGGACCCCGCTCCCAGGGGCGCTGCCCCCCGAACCCCCGTTCGTTCAGGGGCTTCGTCCCTAAATGACATTGTACTTTGAAAACTTGATCAAACTTAAACAAATGTGCACTCCACACCTCCCTTACTTGTTTAATATTTATCAAGATCATTTTGGTCAACAAATTAATCCTATTACACTTAAATAACATTGATGATAACAAAACACCAACATCATATGTGATTTGTGTTTACACATGAGCGAAAATAAGTAACCATATACACTTTAATAGTTGTACTTTTAAAAGTTGGTTGGTTATAAATGAACACCAAAATGGTCGACCTTCACAAAATGCTATCAAAAGTTGGTCGTCGGCTATAGGATGTAAATAAACGACAATCGATCTTCACAAAAGATTACTTGTAGTGTTGTATATGTTTATGTTAGATATGTAAGACTAAATAGTTTTGTGTGTAAGTAAAAGGTTGACTTAATATGTACGTATCAAGTAGTTTTTATAAAATAGCATATAATTTTTCAACTATTATCTAGTTTTACAACTAAAATGTTGCTTTTCAGGTAACAATAAATTTGTCAACTACTTTGTCAAACATGATCTTAAGTTAACTTATAGTTTTTTAAACATTAAAAATGATTATCTAACTCTATCTTAAGTATTATGTCTTCATTTCCTTCTAACAAATTCATCTAACCTTGTAGCATAATATAGTGTAACACCACCACAACATGAATAACAACACATTATGGGTAACTAATGTAGAGTATCCTAACTCCAAAAGATGAAGATGGTAAAGGTAAATAATGTAAGAGGTTGTTTGTCGTAAACAGACAAATATTTACAAATAACTAAAATAGAAAATCATTATCTAATACTAGTTCCAAACAAAATCAAGACAAAATTTCATAAATGGTTCTTATGGTTTTCCTTTTTATTCCTTAAAATAATTATTGAAATTTTTTTACATGAATAGTCATTTAGAGCAAGCCTTACACACCAGTGGTCCTTCTGATGAATGTTCGTTACATTGTTCCGTTAAGTTGAAGGAATTTTTGATAATGACCATTTATCACATTTTGTGAAACTTCACTTAAGGATCATTTGTGGAATTTTGTCCGATGACCATTTTTGAAATTTTAAAAAATTCTATTAAATCTTGTATTAATTACCATAAATCAAATAAAAAGACAAAAAACTAAAACATAGAAAAATATAATATTTATATGAATAAAAAATTAACGCTTACAGATTTTAATCATCATGCAAATATATTTTATTTAATATATAAATTATTTTTGTTGTATAAACTTTGTCTAAAATATTCAAACTATAATACATCATTGAATATTTTCGTTTTTTATATT